TTTTCAGATCTCAACTCAGTGTACAATGCTTGTTTCCAGCAAGGATATGGTTTTCTCGTCCGAGAATGTGAAACAACTAGTGAAGCGGTGTATTCCAAACGAGGTTAGTTTTTGAAACCAATTCTCGGCTCATATGATACAGGGGTTTTAAAGCTCTAGCACTTTTGAACACAACTTGTTAATGATAAGTTCCATCCTAAACTGTACCTAATTTTCAGCTCATCCCCGTCGACTGGAAATGCGACCAATCAGATATTCGCTCAAACCTCGAATCCCTTTTGGAATGCTCCCGTGGCCAATTAGGGATGTTCGAATCCGTGACTGCTCTTTTCCAAGCACTTGCAAACTTCCTCACTGTTCCTGGATGTGTGACTATGCTTCAATTCGATGGGATATATGCGACCTTACCTTTAATTCATACCAGTATCAAAGGAGTTGAATATATCTACAAGATGGATGTCCTCGAACTCATTTCTCTTGCTGTTCCATGTCCATTCGAAGGTTGGCAAGCTGAATTGGTTCGATTGGCAGTGAAGAGTCGTCTGAAGTGTTTCGAAGCTGATTGGAAATCTCGATTCAATTCAAATTGTGAAATGATCAAAGTGGACCTTGCAAAGCTTAAAACTTTTGCTGTAAACCTGCATGAGTGCGCAAAAGCATTATTCAAAAACACCGAATTGTGTATGCCCAATCTGCCGGACTTTTCCAATGTCGAGTCTACAGATGGATCTTATGAAATGTTGAAATCTTTCGATGAGAAATACCCAATAGCGAAGAACAAGCAATTTTATACCCAAATGTTTTCGTGGGTTGTGACCGTCGGAAAACTATTCAAAAAGGTCTTGGAGGAGAGTTTTATGTCTGCTGATGATTCGAAGGCAACGGTTAGACTGTTCAAAATTGGAAAGGATTCCTATGTTATGGCACATGAGCTGCTCCAATCAATGAAAAACAAGAATATGGACGTATCGGAGTTTGAGGAGGAATTTCTCAAAATGACGAATGTGGCCACATTCAATTTCCGAGAAGTCGCTCAAAAAGTGAAGATTGGAGACATGAAGAACATTGAGGTAAGACTTAAAACAACTTTATTTTCTAATTTCCTCTTTTTTTCAGTTCATTCGAATTAACACCAGAGAATCCAATATCACTCCCATCCCAATCCCAGCGCCCGATGGAACTTATTGCGTCCCTGCCACCGATGCTCTCTACGATCTAATCAGCGACATTACTATGTTCAAGAAAGTGTTTCAAAGAATCAATCGAAGCCAATTTGAGCATATTATAAACTTTTTTGAGTCTGTGGAACACATTTTCCGTCACAATGGAGGTGACTATTTTATCAGTATGGAGGATGTGGAATGGGTCAAAGCAAAGTGGGAGAAGACTTATAAAGAGAACTTGAAGTCGTCAGTAGCCGTCAAACATATTCGGAAGGTTCGAAAAGGAGGATTCACAGAAGATGATTTGGATAAAGAACTCGAGTATCTAAATCTTTACAACTGTTTGCCGGAAACGAAGCGCGAAGTTAAATGGGCGTACAAGTTAGTCACCAAAGAACGGAATTCTACTCTGAAGCTTGAAGATATGCACTCCGCCGTCTTTCAATGCCAACTGACGATTCTCCTGGAAAACCTTCCCAAGGTTTACCAGTTTTTGCACAGTCAAAAGGTGTGTATGAAGTGGGTGCCATATGTGGCATGCGTATTTTGTGAGAAGCCGAGATTGGAAACGCTGCTGAACAAGTCGTCGCGAACCGAAGAAGAGGGACAGGAGTTTATGGAATTGACTGATGTCTCCGTAGTAGCACCACCAGAAAAAACCAACGTCATCGAGGAGGATAAGGAACAAGAAGTTTCATTTGCTGTTCCGAAGAAGAAACGGTCTAGAAAGGCGAAGAAATCTGAAGAAGCCTCCAGCCCAACTCCTTTGGATTCTCCTTCCACCCCAGAACCCGAAATGCCAGAAACATCCAAGGAATCGCAATCATGTCCAAAGTGCTCTAGAGCTAGCCATTTCGCTGATGTCGCAAATGAAAAGCTGAGAGTTTCCAAAGTCGAGTGTAAGCATCTAAAGAAAGAGTTGGCAAATGCTGAGTTAGAAGTCGAAGTTCAGAAGCAGAAAGGAATGGACAAAGATGAAAGAATCAGAATTCTAGAAGAACTTTTGAAATCCAAAGATGATATAATCAAAAGACAGAACATGGATCTCCTTGCAAAGCAAGACACGATCATGAACCTTGAGATGGAGGTGGAATCTAATTACAACACCATTCAAGAGTACTCAACAACCATTATGAATCTCGGAAAATCTCTCGCAGAGAAGGACAGCAGAATAAAATATTTGGAATCTGAGAAACAATCGAAAGTGAGAATCATGGACCAACGAAGTGACGAGGAGACGGAGAAAGTCAGAGATGTGCTCTTCAAACTTCTCGAGATCCAAGGAACCCTTCGAAGCGGGAACCCAGTTGGAAAATGCAGAGAACTTGCTCAACGAATCTGTATGAAGGCTCACAACAAGCAAATCGAAGATGCCACTAAAATTGAAGCAATTAAATTTTGCGAGAAGGCTAAAGTCTACATTCAAGCAGTCAACACCCAGTTGGAGATGATCCGTGGAAGCCGACTAGTCAACTCAGAAGAGATTCCAGAACTTCCAGAGTTCCCAGCTCTCTCCAGAGGATTCTTGAAGACCTACGAAGACATCTTCAAGTCAGAAGCTCCAAAAATCTGTCAGTCGCTGCTGAAGGCTCCAGCAGTGAAACCAGGAGAACTTGCTGACACCGACTGCTTGATCTGCATCGAGGAAATGGAATCAGAAGAAGGAACTATCAAATGCGAGTGCTGTAAACGGAGATATCATACCGAGTGTGCTCAAGAATGGTTCAAGACAAAGAGAACGTGTCCTGCATGCAGTTCAGCCCTTCTGGATGATTCCGAATTTCCAACATTGGGTCAAAGATGATGATTAATAATTGTTTGCTCTTGTTTTTATTTTTGTTTCTTGTCATTTTTTGAAGTTAAAAAAAACATAATAAAATTAATATAAAAGTAAAATTGTGTTTTGTTCTTTAGCCGAAAATCGAGTTATTAACTTTGACCGATTCGGTTTTCCCAGATTCTTCTTATGAGAATTTGATAGAACATTTGAATAGCCCCAAACCATGTCAATACCTTTCGATTTGAGCCACAACAATCCGAAATGCGCCTAGTGGTACTTTAGAAAATCTAATATCGATTAAACTTCTTCAAAAAATCGGAAATCTTGAATCAACTCCAAATTTAATTACGGTAGCTTTCAGTTTTAAAGTCTTCTCGGTGCTCGTGTCTTGAAAAATTCAAGTCTTGATTTCTTATCTTCGTATGGATTCCTGAAGTTAGAAGCTCTCCAGGTGATGAATTTCGATTCAGTAGGAAAAGTTATAGATGAGCTCAATGTTATGAGTTTGAGTTTATTGGAAAGCCCTGGACAAGGTCCTTCGTCCTTTGAGGATGAAAAAAAACCTTTTGAAGAGAGACCGTGTTTCTGGAATAATTTCTTTCTGAAATGTCACAGCTATTGAAACGTATGCAATTGAATGTGTATTCTGAAAAACTTGTTCATACGTTTTGGAATTTTCTAATCTCTATGAATTGCTATTAAATAAATAAAGTTTTCAAAAAAAAAAACTCTTTGGGGAATCCTCATTTTCAAACGTTCCAGTTTATAGTGTTTTCCAAACCACCAAGTTTCCCAGGAGCCCTCAACATTTATAACATTGACTCGTTCCCATAAGTCTACTTTATTGTCTTTACATACCCTGTTAGATGACCACTAATTGTTAACTTTCTGTATACGTGTCAATCAAAACCGTCTGCACCTCTCAGGACATACGACCCACCTGGACTCGGAACAAGCTCCGCCCCTTTTGGATGTGATGGTACGGAACGCTTCTCTTCATTCATTCTTACTCTGTTTCAGTCACTCAGACGGTGACTAGCTCTTCGCTCTTGCCTTTCGTGTTTCCTCCAGCACCTTTTCCTTTATTTGCTATGCCTGACTTTAGTTTAAAAAATCTCGGTGACATTATAACAAACTTCATCAGTTTGCGCATTTTTTATATCTCTCATATGTATCGAGAAAATTAATTAGCTCAAATGTTTTTATCATGTCAAACTCTTTCGGACCATACCAGCGTACCTATGCGATTTTTTGAACTTAAAATATTTATAGTTCTCTAATTTTTCGTTCTCTAATTTTTGAGGTTTAACTTTTTTCTGAAATTTCGAGATATAATTCAAAATTATGTCCAAAACGACCCTCTCCTAATTTTCTTTTCGTTCCCAAACTTTCAAATCCTTCAAGCATTCTAATTGCAGTTAGCAATTTTGGCTGTCCGCTTCATTTTCCTACCGTACCCCATAACCACATACATTTTGAAGCACGTCTTCTCAATTTTTGAGAGAAATAGCCTGTTGATTTTATTGTTAAATTCAGTAGACCACTTTTGATACATCTCATGTAAACCTTAAAAAATTGGGTCACACATAGTAGGACCCTTCTTACTGTAGTTTGTCAGAAGCACTTACAGTATAGTCCATCTTTTGTCACATACTCCTCCACCTTCCAAGTTTTATGATTGATATCCATGTCAGGCTCCGCCCTTTTTGAGGGTGAAGGTACACAAAATTGTCCCCATTGTCATTCCCATTCCATTTCAGTCACTCGGTCGGTGACTAGCTCTTCTCTCTGGTTTTGTCTTCCGTACTTCCTCCAACACATTTCTCTTATTTGCTCTACCTGGTTTGACACGAATATCTCGATTGCTATTAGAGACAACAAAAAGTTGTGAACTGGAAAAATGTTGGTGACATTATCACAATCATTTTATCAGTTGACAATTTTTCTTATCTCTTATAGGAACCGAGATAATTGAGCTCAAGCGTTTTTCAAATAACGGCGTGTTTTTCCATACCACACACTTTCGGACCATGCCTAGGAATTTGTTTCAAATTCCCTCATTTTGCTCCGTTCATATTGCTTCTATTGTTTCTACCCTCATTATCACTAATTAGTCATAATAACGTTTTCAGATCTCAACTCAGTCTACAATGCTTGTTTCCAGCAAGGATATTGTTTTCTCGTCGGAGAATGTGAAGAAACTCGTAGAGCGGTGTATTCCAAAAGAGGTTAGTTTTTAAATCCTATCGAAAGACTCATCTTTATGATCCGGAGGTTCCACTGTTCTCGTGTCAGAGAATATTGAAAAAAACGTTTCTTCATTTCAAACTCTATATAATTTTCAGCTCATCCCAGCCGACTGGAAATGCGACAAAGCAGATATTCGCTCAAACCTCGAGTCCCTTTTGGAATGCTCCCGTGGCCAATTAGGAATGTTCCAGAACGTTACTGCTCTTTTCCAAGCACTGGTCAACTTCCTCACTGCTCCTGGATGTGCGAATCTGCTCCAATTCGATAGGATCTATATGACCGTACCTTTAATTCATAACAGTATCAAAGGAGTTGAATATATCTACAAGAAGGATGTCCTCGAACTTATTTCTCTTGCTGTTCCATGTCCATTCGAAGGTTGGCAAGCTGAATTGGTTCGATTGGCAGTGAAGAGTCGTCTGAAGTGTTTCGAAGCCGAATGGAGATCTCGATTCAATTCAAATTGCGAAATGATCAAAGTGGACCTTAAAATCCTAAACGTTTTTGCTGCAAATCTGTTCGAGTGTGCAAAAGCATTATTCAAGAACACCGAATTGTGTATGCCCAATCTGCCGGACTTTTCCAATGTCGAGTCTACAGATGGATCTTATGAAATGTTGAAATCTTTCGATGAGAAATACCCAATAGCGAAGAACAAGCAATTTTATACCCAAATGTTTTCGTGGGTTGTGACCGTCGGAAAACTATTCAAAAAGGTCTTGGAGGAGAGTTTTATGTCTGCTGATGATTCGAAGGCAACGGTAAGACTGTTCAAAATTGGAAAGGATTCTTTTGTTATGGCTCATGAGCTGCTCCAATCAATGAAAAACAAGAACATGGACGTATCGGAGTTCGAAGAGGAAGTTCTTCAAATGTCGAATTTGGCCACTTTCAATTTCCGAGAAGTCGCTCAAAAGGTGAAGATTGGAGACATGAAGAACATTGAGGTATATTTATTAAAACATTTGACTTTTTAATTGTTTTATTTTTCAGTTTATTCGACTTAACTCCAAAGTATCCACCACTGCAATCCCAATCCCAGCACCAGATGGAACTTATTGCGTCCGTGCCACCGATGCTCTCTACGATCTGATCAGCGATATGATTGTGGCCAAGAAAGTGTTACAGAGAATTGATCGAGACACATTTGAGCACATCCAACAATTCTTCAAATCTATGGAGCACATCTTCCCTGTCAATGGCGGAGACTTTTTCATCAGTTTGGACAACGTGGAAGTCATCAAAGTAAAGTGGGAGAAGACTTATGAAGATCATTTGAAGTCGTTAGCACCTGTCAAGCATATTCGGAAGGTCAGAAATGGAGGATTCACAGAAGATGATTTGGATAAAGAACTGGATTACCTGAATCTCTACAACAGTTTCCCGGAAATGAAGCGAGAGGTTAAATGGGCATACAAGATAGTCACCAAGGATCGGACATCTACTTTGAAACTTGAAGATATGCACTCCGCTGTCTTTCAATGTCAATTGACGATTCTTTTGGTGAAACTTCCCAACCTTTTCAAATTTCTGCATAGCCAAAAGATGTGCATGAAGTGGGTGCCGTATTTGGGATGTGTTTTGTGCGAGACGTCGACACGGCCGACACTGAAGAAGCTTCTGAACAAGCCTTCAACAACCAAAGAAGAGATCAAGGAACTGATGGAAATGACTACCGTTTCCGCGGTACCACAGCCACCAAAAGAAGATGGCGTCATCGTTGAAGAAAAGGACCAAGACGTCTCATCTGATGTTCTTCCGAAGAAGAAGCGATCCAGAAAGACAAAGAAATCTGAAGAACCCCATCGAAGCACATCGGAATCTTCTTCGTCTCCAGAATCCGAAATGCCAGAATCCTCCAAGGAATCCCAATCTTGTCCGAAGTGCTCTAGGGCAAGCCATTTTGCTGATGTGGCTAATGAGAAGCTGAGAGTATCCAAGGTCGAGTGTAAGCATCTGAAGAAAGAGTTGGCAAATGCTGAGTTAGAAGTCGAAGTTCAGAAGCAGAAAGGAATGGACAAAGATGAGAGAATCAGATATTTGGAAGAACTCTTGAAATCTAAAAACGATATCATCGAAAGGCAAAATATGGATCTTCTTGTAAAGCAAGACACGATCATGAATCTTGAGATGGAAGTGGAATCTAATTACAACATCAATCAAGAGAATTCAATCATTATTGAAAATCTTGGAAAATCTCTCGCAGATAAGGATAATAGAATAAGGTACCTGGAAGCTCAACAAGCATCGAAAGTGAGAATCATGGAACCAACTAGAAGTGACGAGGAGACGGAGAAAGTCAGAGATGTGCTCTTCAAACTTCTCGAGATCCAAGGAACCCTTCGAAGCGGGAACCCAGTTGGAAAATGCAGAGAACTTGCTCAACGAATCTGTATGAAGGCTCACAACAAGCAAATCGAAGATGCCACTAGAATTGAAGCAATTAAATTTTGCGAAAAGGCTAAAATCTACATTCAAGCAGTCAACACCCAGTTGGAGATGATTCGTGGAAGCCGAGTAGTCAAACCAGATGAGATTCCAGAACTTCCAGAGTTCCCAGCCCTCTCCAAAGGATTCCTGAAGACCTACGAAGACATCTTCAAGTCAGAAGCTCCAAAAATTTGCCAACCTCTTCTGAAGACTCCAGAAGTGAAACCAGGAGAGCTTGCTGACACTGATTGCTTGATCTGCATCGAGGAAATGGAATCGGAGGAAGGAACAATCAAATGCGAGTGCTGTAAACGGAGATACCATACCGAGTGTGTTCAAGAGTGGTTCAAGACAAAGAGAACGTGTCCTGCATGCAGTTCAGCCCTTCTGGATGATTCCGAATTTCCAACATTGGGTCAAAGATGATAATTAATAATGTTTGCTCTTGTTTTTGTTTTTGTTTCTTGTCATTTTTTGGAGTTTAAAAAACATAATAAAATTTAATACAAAATTAAAATTGTGTTTTGTTCTCTAGCAAAAATGGTGTTATCAACGTCGACCGATTGTGAGACTATCAATTGATTGAAATGGTCGTTTTTCAGGGGGAGTTACTTGATATAGAAATTGCTAAAATATCAACCACACTTGATTGAAAATTGCAATTTATGGACAAACAAATCTAAGTCGGAAAAATATCAAAAAATTTTAGAGTTCGATTTTTCGATTTGGAAGATTTTTGACTCGGTTTGTCTATATTCTTCGGTCTGAATGCTTCTGCATGTCGTCACAGTATCGGGATACTGTAAGAGGATTGATCGGGAAGAGAAGAGAAGATAAATCTATTGTCTCCATTGTCCGTTCTTCGTCTGGATAATTTTCTATTATTTCTTCTATTAGATTGTTCGGAAAGTCCTTTCCATTTTTGGCGTTAGATACGGTCAATGTAAAAAAAGACGATGTCGGATGAATTGGAGGTAATAACCATTGTTATCAATGACTGTCTGCCAACGTTCCATTAAATTGTGGATTCCTTCCTTCCAGAACTCCGGTCACAGCAAGTTGAAAATCAAGTCAAACCATTTTTGATATCACGTTTTGAAATGAATTTTATTCAATCAAGATGACGTTAGAAATGGCTGGATGGGTAATAATCAGAAAGTCTAAGGTTCGAGCTATACAGTGAATAAGGCAGAATCGTCTAGACATATCCACCGAGATCGGCCTGGGTCTTCCTTCCCGCCTGAGGTTGCTAATTTTAATTTTCAAAATAAACCATTGTGTTTCTCTCCAAGGGAGATCCACATGGAGTCTGAGTTATGTCACCTGACAAGAATAGGTATGGGTCGTAAAAGTGACACTATTATCAGGCAGCTCCTAATACTCCATTCTTTGGTAGACCACCATACCGACAACATCCCATTTTTAACACGAATTTCACGTTTCGAGACGTCTGGTGGTTGAGTGCCTTTGTCAACCCACTTGGTATGTTGCTTATTGTAATCACACATTACCTAGCAATGGTTTGATTCCAACATTAATGTGTGCAACGCAGGATGAGAAGATTCAAACAGGTGCCAACCCGGGGAAAAAAGTTGCGTTGAGCCAAAAGATGGGGTCAATTTCTTCCCACTTTTTTGACTGTGCCGAGAGTATTCAATCTACGGTTTTTCAACGAAAGGCTTGCCACTGATGTACTTTATATATCAAACACAGTTTGAGGAGGGTCCCTTTCTTTCCCGGCTTTTAATGCATCCAAACCTAAGCCCATTTGCCTTTTTGAAGAGGGATTTTCGTCTAACAAGAATTCCCGTTTTTCAAATTACTAAATCCAGGTTGTGATGGTAGTTCGAATGGGTGCATTTGCGTTGTTAACCGCTACTAGTTGGCGATCGATTTCAGCTAATTTAAGATCAGATATAAATACAATTAAAATGATAGTCCAAAAATGGAAATTGATAGAGCCGAAAACGGTGAGCATATCTCATTACACGAAAAGGGGGGAATGATCTCTGTTGGGGTGCAGACACTATTAGACCCCACCAATATATTGATAAAACGACAGCTTTCTCGCTTTTACCTCGTTCAAAAAAACAAAGTTTGAAAACAACAGATCAAAAATGGAAAGGACTTTCCGAACAACCTAATATATCCAGTAAAAAATAAACTTTTTTTATGAAATCAAAATTGAACACATAAACTAGTAGTAGGGAAAAAAGACAAATGACGGCCGGCCCCGACTTTTAATGTGAAATCCGTGAAACCGTAGGACGTAGTCAAGGCCGACAATTGAAATCTGGAAATCTGAAATTCCTAAAAATTTCGAAACTAGTTCCTGACTTCCTTATCATTTTTTGTTCAAAAATTTTCGCGTCATGCGAAATTTTTACCATAAACAGAATCTACTTTTGAAATTCTTTATCACTGTTGAAAAAATAGAGAGCATGGGAATTGAAGAGAGGGAAAAGGAAATCAGTCTCAAAATTCATTCATATAAAAGTGTGGAAGTGATTAAAAGAGGCCATATCATCAAAAATCGGTGTCGTATTCAATTCCTATTTTGTGGGTGAGTATTTTTGATTGAAAATAATTCAACATTTCGAAATTTACAATTTTTGAGGTATTTTAGAAAATTCAAATATTCCAGACAAATTCCCAAAAGAATTCTCAAAGAACCCTTGCGTTTCCAGGAACCCCATATAACTCAATTCGAGAAAATGTGATAGACTTGGAAGCGTTGTAGAAGACGTAGAAAATTTTTTCGGTATTCGGAATTCTGAAGTACCAAACGTCGGTTTGGTTGCTGTCAAATCCAGGAAAGTCGTCAAGGTTTGTGTCGTTGTCATCGAAAAAGTTTTGAAACTCAATTTTGATTTTGATGAGGTTCTCCGAAACTTGAAGCTTCTGAAAGTTACTTATTGGATGAAAATATCTATAAATTAACCACATCTTTCAAGTGGATCAAATCACTCATTGATACAGTATCCATCAAAATATCCGCAATTGCCAATCGTTCAATCGATAATTCTCTGATTGGTGTATAAACCACAAAGGAATTGACCACCAATTCTTCCAAATTTCTCCATTGATCCAATTTTGAAATCTCATCAACTGACAGAAATCTCTGAAACTTCCCAGAAACTGGGCATTTGATCTCCAATTTTTTCAGAGAAACCGAATCGATAAGTGGAAAAATGGAAAGGATTTCATGCTGACCGAACACCTCCATCTCCAGATTTTCAACCTTCAGACCCTTGGATTCTAGAAATTCCATTTTGAAATGGTCCAATAATTGAGGATCCTTGTAAAAATTGAGATAAACTGATTTCAAAACTGTTTCCTGATTGCTCATCATAATTTTGAAATCTTCCAGAAACTTTGATTGATAAGATTCGTTTGAATCGAATTCCCGATAAGTGATTGGTTTTTGATCGTTGTAGGATACGGTAACTTGTCCGGGCTCTCGAATGTCGATTGATATTTGCTGAAACTTTGGATCCAACTTCAGAGAATCCAAACCAAAACGAAGGTCTTTGCAGACTTTTCGAAGGGATTGCCTGAAAATTATAAGACCATTTTTGGCGCTAAATTCAAAAGTTACATGTCAATTCCATCCAAAAACTTCGCGACATTTCCCAAAATTGTAGAATTACTGAAAACTTCCAAAGCTGAAACTATTCTTTGCTCCATTGGCTCTTGAGAAAATTGGATACGGTTTCTGACCAAATCACGATAAATTCGAAGATGCTCCTCTCGAGAAATCCGATTTTTCCGAATTTCAGAATTTTCTTGAATTCCTGATGGCGGTCCGAAAAGTTTGTTGAATTGTCCTAAATCGATTTTTTCAAAATAAATGGAGATTTTACGGAAGATTCGGGAGTTGGTGAGAATCTGAAATCGTCGTTTCTTACAACCCAAATGCCAGAATTTCCATTTCTACACTACCTTTTTCAAAAAATCCATATTTTCTTTAATCAATTCTTCCAAAATTATTTCCATCTCCAGTCCTTCCTTGTCCCTCCAAACTTGAATCAATCTCTGATCATCCCAAAGTTGACTATCATTTTTCAATTTCAGATCAATCGATTTCAGAGGTCCCGCATCCAAAATAGGGAAAATTTGCATTGCTTGTCTCGAATTCGCCACTTCCAATGTAACCTTCCCTGTTGGAATTTTCGATTGTTTGCTCAGAAGCTCAATGACATTCGAATCCTGTTGATCACATCTGACTTTGAATTCTTGCAAAACTGTATCCCTCTGATTTAGAACCTTCTGGAAGTCTTCTTGAAATTCAGTAGCTGATTCGTATTCCTGCTCCAATGGATCAGACAAAGTGTAGAATCCAAGACAAATTAAAATTCTTTTGACTTTTTCAGCTATTGAAACCGATTTGATATGGCCCAGAGGAGCTTGGCCCAGCATTGGAATCTGGAATATTAAAAATTAGAAAAAAAAAATTAATTGGAGATTATTGAAAAGAATATGGACACGAATGGTTGATTCTCCACTACTGGGGTGTATCTTTTATTGAAGCAAAAGTAGGAAGAGTGTGTAGGAAAGATAAAAGTTAGATTGATAATTTAAATTCCATGAGTAGAAGAGTCGAGCGAGTGAATCAGTAAATACGTTTTGGAAATTCGTTAATGTTATCTGAATGTTATATGAAAAACTTCACCATTAATTATTTTCAAGATTACAAATTTTTATAAAAATGAAAAACTTGGAATTGTCAGGATATTTCTGAATCGTCCAAATTGTAGAAAAGGGTTCGAAAAATTGTCAAAAATAGAAAAATAGGCGAGGCTGCAATTTCCTCACTCTTATTTTAATCAGCAAACCGCAAAAGTCATTTGTTCATAAACGAGAGAATTCGAGAAAAAATGACTTGACGTCAACTTGCTCACAAATCAATCCCTTTGATCTTGCCACTATCTATCTTTTCCTTCCTCACATTAGGACTAACTCTTGCGGGTTAGTCCTTCTTAGCTTCGTTTTTTACCATTTTCTTTCCCCGGTTACCATCACTCCTTATTTCTTCAAATCCTTCGAATATATATATATATATATATATAACAAGTCATCGAGTGGACCAAACTTTAAACTTGAAGTCTAAAGAATTTCACTCTCAAAACTTTTAGATGTATAACCTGTAACATTTACGAAAAGTCACCTTGTAGAATTCAGATTACGAAAATTCTATGACTCCATCAAAGTTGAATGAAAAAAGAAGAAGAAATTTTGAGAACCTACGCATAGGCTCACATTCTGTTTCCTATCAGCTGCAACGGACAACGCAACATTGAGTTCCAGTTCTGAAGGAAAGAGGAGGAGAAAAGAAAAGAGACTAAAACTGCACTGTTTGAAATTATGTCATGTGTCATGAGAACGCTGGGCATGATGATTATGTGAAATCTATACGGCGCCAAAAAATCCACCAAAAAGTTGAATATTGAACAGACTGAATCTTCTAACCGCAAAAAAGAGATACCCTTATGTTTCAGGGAAATGGACACTAGCCAAACGAAATGATCCTATAGTGTTGCCTCAAAATGTCATCAATTGGGAGATCTTTTATACGAGCAAAGTCTTTCGTGACTTTTGAAAACAATTAAAATGAATTTGGGATTATCTGTCCCGGACTAAAAAGAAACGTCTCCGATTCACGACCAACTTTTCCTGTCAAAAGTGTCCTCATTTAAAATTGTGCCACAAAAAGTGGTTGGTAAAGCGAATTATTACAATAGGAATGAACTACTGTAATTATTCTTATCTTCCTTATATTATAAAACGCTAGAGGCGTCTGTCCGTCCCGTTGTCCGTTTTTTGAAAAACTTGAAAATTAAATATAACTTGACGTGAAATTGAAGAAAAGAGTGTGAGCGACGAAAAGTAAAATAAATAGGTCAAATCGCATCGAAGACGCGCCAGGGGCACGGCAAACAGGCTGATTTTATTTATATCCAATAAAATGTACTGAGACTGTATAAAGATAAAATTGAAATCCAGGGGAGTTTTGAGTTTTTTATGACATTTGGAGATGCGATTAATAGAACCACCGAAAGTGTAATATTTTTATGTCTAAGACAACAAGTGAGCTCTGCTATCTCGTTTTATAGAACTTTGTTATCTCCTTTTAGAATTTGTGAAACATCGTTAAGGCAGAAGGGAAACAGTTACAGACATGCTGAAACAGTTACAGACATGCTTGAGAGTTTGCACGTCATGATGGTTATCAAGTCATGACATTTTATCGTATGCACATTGACCGGGTTTGAAGTAGACCCTATTTGCAAACAAATCGACGATAAGCATACCAAAGTTTCTTTTAAACTTCATATTTTTTGACCAACTAAAATAAATGTTGCGAAACTGAGCGAGTGCTACTGAATAGTACAATAATTACAATCAACAAAACTGCAATAAGCGGGAATCTCGATTGGCCTTGAATTTAGTTTGTAAGTTTGGAGCAATGTGCAGAATTATGGTTACATCATCTTTTAGTATTTTTTCTACAATGACTTTGTTTTATAAAACATTTTTGTATTTCAAAATTTATTTGAAAATTCCAGAGTCATGTATTGATTAAAAATTCGATACTCCTTTATTTCATATCTGATATTCAAGTTGATCAGGAAAAGCATCCTCTGGAATACATGAAGCATTGAAGCGGGTGAAAATAAAAAATCGGGAAATGACATAATTCAAATGAAGACATTTTTGAGAATCGGGAATTCGAATGAACCAAATTGAATTGTGTGGTTTTTGAGAATAAGGACGTCCCAGAAAATTTTGAATATTTTCAGAATTTGTGAATCTCTCAAAATTGATTTTCAGCTTTATCACTGTTGCGGATTCCAAGAACTTCTGAAAATTTTTTGAAGTGTCTGAGATGAATAAAACTGACCGCTTTCAAATGTATTATATCTTCCATAGATATATCCGAGACTTTAATATCCATTTTTGAAAAATTGAAAATGTCCAAATTCTGAATTGGCGTTGAAATAGAGAATCCTTCGATAGTTAATTGTTTTGCCATTTTCCATTGATCCAATTTTGAAAAATCATCAAGATTAAACGATTTCACAGCATCCATGATTGTTATAGTTTCCAGAAATTTTGAATCAATGAATTGTAAAATTTGGAAAACTTGACAATCAGTTAACCTTTGAAGACTCAGATTTTGGACTTGAACTCGACCGAAAAATTTTGAAGAGCAATTACCCAAAACAATATCCATAAATTGCTCATTTGATCCTTGAATATCCAATAATTCAATTGGAACTCTCTGGTTTTTCAAAATTTGCTCAAAATCGGATAAAAATATTTTTGAAAGATCACATGGGCCATCGAAAGATGTTCGATTCACAGAATACCCATCCCAAGTTTTTTGATAAAAAATTGATAAATTTTCCAAAAATTTTGAGCAAATGTCCATTGGAATGAAGTTGGAATCTTGGAATTTCAATGAAATTTTTCGAATTTTCGGATCCGGTTTCACAATTTCTATGCAGCTTCGAACATTTTGGGATACTTTCCGAAGACATTCTCTACAAAAAATACTAATTTTTAAAAAATTAAGGAAAAACTCACATTTCAAAAAAATCCAAATCTTCCAGAACATTCTTCATTATCAATGGATTTTCCAAAATTTTTCTTGACTTTTCTGCTGATTGCATGAAATTAGCAAAATCGATTTTTTGATCCGATTTGATTTTTTGGATTTTCAAAAATTGTAATATTGATTTCAAACCATCCTTATCAAAATTGGTAACGGAGAAGTTGTAGACTTGAAGTTTGTTATTTCGCTGTTTCAGAAGATTTCTCAAAAATTGAAAATCAGAAATCATCCAATTTTTGATCTCAAAAATGTCCAAAAATCCTTCAAAATCCATTAATAGTGCTCCAAATAAATTCCAGAAACAACTTTGAAAATTCTCATTCTTCCAAATAATTCTCGAATTTTCTCCACCCAAAAAATAAAATGAGGGGTTTGAATCCGATTGAAAATTGATTGTTAGAAATCCCGAATTTAAATTCAGAAGGTATAATTGAAGAATAATTTCCAAGTTTAGAAATTCTACAGTAATCCCATTGATTCGATTTTTGAAATGTTGAGATATCGATTCGCTGAGACACGCATGCATGGGATATGTCTGAAAGAGGTCTCTGGAAAATTCAGACGTTTTGAAATTTTAAAACTCACCGAAAATTGTAGAAAATGATTTTGAAAGGTATGAATTTTAGAACTGAAAGTTAGACAGAGAGGAAACTAAAACTCCAAGCAGCGGAAGAATCGTTATCAGCGGGGCGAGGGCAGACATAAATGGTAAGAGTTTCAGACAAAAAAAATAGAGAGTACCCCCAAAATTGGAAGTTGAAACAAAATGAAAAGGTTCAAAACGTAGAACCAATTGCTAAGAGTCAAGGACTAGTCTGGCTTCTATGCTTTTGACCAGAATGTGAAAATTGTGAAATTTGTTTTCAATAATGACATCATATTATCAACGGAGCGTGATTACTCATTCTTCACCCTTCTGTAAAAGACCTTCACCGGGGTTCATAATCATGTAACTTACCGTAAAACCTGTATTAGAAGTGTTCTTTTAATAGAACGGTCACACCTTCGAATACTGACTTTACGGTATTATATAAGACACCTCTGAACAAACGTAAATGTTTAGTAACGGAAAATTTGGGAAAAATAAATTGAAAGTTTGAAGAATTTCAATAAATGACAGCAATTTTGCGGAATGGGGTGAATCATTATAAAAAGCCAGTCATACTGGAAAAATTTAGAATTCTCTCATCTCGAATCCCACCGAAGCTCTATTGGGTGCCCGAAATCTCCGATCCTCCAAATATTTCAAAATCTTTCGGATTGCATAAAAAGCCAGTCCAGCCAGAATCAAGACAATGATCAGGAGTACACATGGTCCAAGGACGACGACGATGACGAGAAGGAGGATGAGAAGAACAGTGATAACAATCGAAACGACGATATTCATTTGTTCGGTGGGTTTTGAACTGAAAAAAAAACTGTTCTCAATTTTCGGGATTATCCAGAAGCTTACTTTTTCAAGTTCTTGGGATGCCTATGATTAGCTGAGTCATCGGAAAGATCCATGGGCTCCTCCCGCCATTGAATATCTTCCAAACTGAAAAAAGTTTTGGTTGGTTTGAAAATCTTCAGAAAATATAAAAACTAACATATCGAAACCGGTAGCATTGGTTTGAAAGCGCTCACTAATGTTTCTGACGTTCGGAAACTTGAGATAGCTGAAAAAAGGTTCGTTTACAGAAGATTCTAGAAGGGAAGGCTTACCTGAAGAAATCATCATCAGGTTCTTGGGACGACACACATCTGGAGAATATGAGGATAGTTAAGAGGAAAAGGATCAATGCAGGCTTCATAGAGTTTTGCAGTCTATCCAAAAAAATCTTCCAAAAATCAAGACCCGATAGCAATATGATTCAGCAATCGTGGATTTCAAAACGAATGAATTTCTTCTGGAAAAGGGGGCGGGGCCAAAGACTAGCTGATCAACAATCATTGAAATGAATCATTGTTGCAATGAAAAACAAATGGTTCGTAGAGGCTTTTTCCAATATGATGTCATGAGAGCCTCTAAAATATAGGACATACTAGATGTCACAAAACCAACATTGGAAAGTTAGGTCATGGAAACGGTAAATTTTTGCAAAGCCCGAATTATTTTGTTACTCAAAAATCGAAAAAATGACTAGACTATCAGGCCCTAGATTTCAGATCTAATAAATTCAAAACTTTGCACTCCTAGCTGCAAACCAGGAAAAACAGTTTTCTCTTTCATTTTCTTGATCTTATTTTGATGGATACTGTATGTATCAATAAGTGGTTTGATCTATTTGAAAGATGTAGTTCATTTCCATAATTTTTTTTTCTACGTATCTAGCTATTTCCAGTAAACTCCACAACTCCGAAAATCTCATCAAATTCAAAATTGGTTTTCAAAACTTTTTCGATGACAACGACACAAACCTTATCGATTTCCCTGGATTCGACAGTAACTAAACCGACGTCTGGTACTTCAGAATACCAAATTCTCAGAAAATTTTCTACATCTTCTACAACTCTTCCAAGTCCATCACATTTTCTCGAATTGAGTTATATGGGATCCCTGAAAACGCTAGGATTCTTTGAGAATCCTTTTTTTTCAAATTCCATCTGGATATTTTTTGTCTGAATAACCTTATTGACAAGTAGTTAAATTTAAAACAATACTAATTTGAATCAGAAAAAAAACCCACCAAATAGGAATTGAATATTCTTCGCCACATTGATTTGTTGTCTTCATTGTAACAGTTTCTAATCATCATTTTCACATCGATTTTCACATCGATTTCACATCGTAATAAATTATTATTATTATTATTATTTGTCTTTTTATACCTCTTAATTGTCTTCTTTTACCCCTCCTCATTGTCCATACTATCTTCTTCTTATCAGCAATGAAATATTTCAAACCAATCTTGATGACCATTTTGGCATGATGTGGAAACTAAAGGATGCTATTCTAAAATCAATTTTTCCAGATTTTCAGGTTTCAAGCTTCAGGAAAACTTGACAAGACCGGCCGCTTCTGGCTGGACACGGCCTTCAAAAACAGAGAAGTTCTGAAAATCCTCTTTGGAAAGCTTGAAATGGCTTTAGTTTCTGAAATCTTCTAAAGTTCTATCTCCACTAATTCCATCATTTAAACCAATTCTTATTATCACAACAAAAAAAATATAACAAGAACCCATAAAAACAGAAAAAAAAAACACGAAAGTGTCTAAAATAGTTATAGTTACTAAAACTAAATCCAATCCTGCTCATCAGCCGGTCCATCAGTCAGTGTAACCATCTCAATATCATTTGCTGCATCCAATGTGCTCAGTGCTCTTTTCTCTTGTCGGCGTTCTTGAAGGCGCTTGTGGATGATGATGGCGAGGAATACGGTAAGGGCGATGATTAGAGCAATAAAGAGAACAGAAAAAATTCGGAGAGTGAGGGTGTCCAAATGGTTGTTCATAGCTTCCAACTCGATGAGAATAGATCCGGAGGTATGGTTGGCTGGGGTGATTGCGGTTAGGTCCAAGCTGGAAATATAACTATAGGATTATGCTGAAACCAGCAAGCTGGTGCGTCTTCGGCGCGGTTCAATCTAGTTTTCACTGGTTTGTTGCATCGCTTCTCACGTTTTCTTACAGGGTCACGTAGTCTATACATGTTTCAAGCTTTTCAAAACCGGAGAGCGTGACACCAGGACCAACAGACGCGCTCAGCGTTTTATATAGAAAAATATCTCGGTTCCTATGAGAGATATCCAAAATTTGTCACCTGATAAAATTATTGCCATAGTGTTAACTACACTTTTGCAGTTTACAAAATTTTGTTATCTCTGACAGAACTTGAGATAATTGACTTCTAAGAAAAAGAATAAAGTAGCGGTGAATAGCTGAGCTACGTGGTCGTATGAAATCAACTGAGCTGTTTTAAGGTGGCGATTTATAAAAACCAAAAAAACTATTAAAAACTATCTCAAGGAAATTTAAGCGAGCCCAGTTTCCAGTTGATCGTTTAAAGTGAAATTTGGCTTTATAAGCCTAAAAGCTCAAACTTACACGAATTGATAATCGTTTTGAGTACAGTATAGGAAGGCCATGAGTTCAAAATGGCTGAGCAAGAAATCGTCCACAACCAATGGTACCTCTCTGGTCAGTTCGAACATCAACCCGTCCATTCCACATTTCGAAAAGCTGATTGGTATGGTTGATGAAGCAGTGGACAAGAAGGTGATGGCTGAAGGGCTCTGATGAACTGAAAACCGGATGCTAGGCTTAGAGCTTGAATATTTTGATTTTTGAAAGAGCTAACAAACATTGGTTAACTGAAAAAATGTTCATCATTATATCGATAACATTGTATCAGTTAACCAAATTTTTGATACAGAAATTAAGGTAATTGGGACTAAATTTTTCACCTCTCACAAAGAAGTCTTCCATAGATATCCAATGGCTTCGGGACCCAACGATGTCTAAATTGATAAATCTGGTTTGATTGAAGGGAGAAGCCGGGGTGAGAAATTGGACTCCGATGAAAACTTGAAGAAGCCGAATGCAGGTTTTCCGCCGACTTCCAGTTTCATGACTATTCTAAAAAATACATCAACAATATAAGAATATTGAATTTAGATTGCCGAATTTACTCTGATAGAAGCCCATCTCGTTGAGCTCAAGTATCTCGGTTCCCCGTAGAGATATTAAAAGCCTGTCAACTGATAAAATATTGGTAATGCTGTGATAACTAGTTTATCAGTTGAGAGTTTTTTGACATTTTTTGGAGGAACCGAGAGAGCGCAAAATAGACGTATAAGATTAGCAACTCTTAGAGCAAATACTATATAATCAAAACTCACTCCTCCGAGCCGTCCGAGCATTTGATTTCCTTAGCGAACATCTCGAGCCAGGGACCGTCCAAATAGACGGCGGTCTTTTTGAAAGGGACCACTTTTCCCATTACATGATCAGAACATAGGAGCATTTGGAAGGTTATGGGTTGAGGAGTTCACTTCCATTTTTATGATCTCTTGATTTTGCTTGGCTATAAAGATTTCTTGATTTTTCAGGAGCTTGGGGTGGGATATTGAGCTTGTGAGCTGATTAGAGTTCACTTCCATTTTTATGATCTCTTGATTTTGCTTGGCTGTAAAGATTTCTTGATTTTTCAGGTTTTGCCTTGAGCTTGGGGTGGGATATTGAGCTTGTGAGCTAAAAAAATCTCCCAACTTGATCTTACCGTAACTTGCAATGTCTCGAAGATCGAAATCCCATTCCAGCAGCTCACGAAAGTCGGAGAATTCGAAAGTTTTGGATTTGACAATGTGGAGATCGGAAGGAACGGAGTCAATGGCTAAGGAGCTGATGATGAAGCAGAGAAGCAAGAATAATAGCTTCATAGTGAAAAGGGGAGACAAGATTGAGGAACAGATCTGAAAAAAGAACTCTGCAAAGAATCTATAATAGCTTGAAGAGTAAAAATCGAGAATTTTGGTAGAGAATAAAAACAGAAAAAAATGTATTGTTAAAGGCTATATGTACAGAGCTTGTGGGGTCTAGAGTTTCAAGAAAAGCGCACCTAGAAGAACGTGGATTACGGTAGCTGGAAAAACAAATGATTCACGTGAAAAGCTTAACCTGGTTTTATCGGTTATGTATAGGCACCACAACAAAATTTTCAAAATAGATTTTTCCCAGTTTTTATTGTTGGATTGTCTTCTCCTACTTTACAGAAGTCTATTCCCAAAATTTCAGCGAAAAATCTTCATTCAATCCCGAGTTACACACCATTTTGTACCAGACCTCAATGTACTGACTTTCTCCTCATTTTTTTGCGGTGCGCAGAAAAGTGGGCGGGGTTTAGAAGCTTGCAATACTGCGGCGCGGAAAATTCGTGAAGGAAATTAAAGAAAAAGCTATTAGACGCGAGAGAGACCCGAACCTCCGCCTGCGTCAGATCGGCGCGCGCACCCACTATCCAGTCGGCCACGGCTGCACTCGCGGTGGTAGCTTTAGAGGGAAAATATGAATGTGCGACTCTTCGCTGCCTGCTGCCTTCTTCCGGTGTTGCTTTCTTCCTATGTTTTAAAGAAATTGATCTGTGAATGATAAGGAAACAGACGTATAACACATTAAGGGCGTCGATAGAATTTTTTAATTATAATTGCTCTTAGTGGCAAATTTTGCGTAGAATCTTATGGTGAAAAGAAAATCGGTGGCGCTCACCTGTGTCACCTTCAAAACTTCCAAAAACTGAAAATTTTGAAAGTTTGGAATTTTCGGATGAGTATCAAAACTACTTAGAGGTATCCAATCTTTCTGAAAATTGGCAGAAGTATACACAAGACTTAGTTTTACCATAATATGCAAAAAAACTTGGGGTCATCGCTGAAATTTTTTATTTATTTTAGCTGGAACTTTGGCTGAAAATTGTGAAACAAGGGCGTCGTTAGAATTTTGATTTTATTTCAAAATCCAATCCCCCAGTTCATAAACTATCAGAATCCATTAAAAAATCTAATGGCGCGAACTTCCATCCAGCACTTTTAGTCCACTTTGTCAGTCCCACTTCTATTTTTCGAAGTTTTCGAATCAAAATAATAAAGTTATCGAAGAACTGATAATTTCATTGGATTCAGCGTAGTCGATTACATAGGGACAAGTTCTCACCAAAAAAATAATGGGTTTCTAACGCCCGGTACAAGCCTTCAAAGATGGATTTCTGAAAAGGGGAGAAAAATTTGGTCGCCCCGCCCCCTTTCATTGCGGTGCCTAGTTATGTATTCAAGAATTGTTTGAACTTTTTTTAGAAGTTTCACAGAATTTTTTATCAAAAATTTAAAATTTTTAAGTTTTAAAAGTTCAATGAAAGAAATATTTAATAACAAATCGAAATAAGTGGAGAAACATGAAAATCTTGAAACGGCAAAAATGTTTTTTTGAGATTTCAAAAATTCTCTAAAATTCACTCTTTCACTTTTCTCATAAAAATAAGTTACAAGAGAGGAAGAGAATGAAAAAATGTCTAAAATTCAAAAATTTCGTAAAGATTGTATATTTTCCCTGTCTACAGTATCCCAAATGAGATGTGAGCAAACAATAAGAATTTGAAAAAAGAATGAGTTTTTTTATGATTCAGAAATGTTAATGGGAGGAGGTGGATGGGAAAGAGATGGAGAGCAAGATGGTGGTGTCTGGTACGGAGAATGACGAGGGATTAGAGGATTAGAGATTGTGAAGAATTTCAGAAAACTACATGTCATTAGCATTGTAAAAAAAGGTGGTTTCCAATTCTGGATAGCTGGAAACAGGAAAAAAAATTTCACGGAATTCGTAAATTCGGAAATATGTCCGAGAAACTAACCAAAACTAGCGATTAACTGGAACATTGTATTCTTGATCACAGAAAAATCGAAATAAGACATTGCAGAAGAGGAGAATCTGAATAAAATTTTACGATTGGGAGGAAATAAAATGAGGGATGAATAGAAAGAGAGATTTAGACATGAAAAACAATGTTGACTCGAATATGGTAATTTGTGAGATACAAAGATAGGAGAAGAGGGTGTAGAGAATTAAAGCAACGAATTTATTACCATAGATATACAACTCGATTGTTGTTTATCTATTGACCCATGCGACAAGCTAGGAATTATGTGAAACTTTTGAAACAGTAGAAAAATTGTAGTTTCAAAACTTTATTTGAAACAGTTTTGGTGTTGGTTGGATTAGCCAAATACATGGAAAAATGAAAACAGGAATGACACAAAAACTGGAGTTTTTTGAAACATCAGAACTTTTCGAAATTTCTGAAACTCATATGCAACCTTTTTTTTCCAAAATGACGTTCTACGGGAAATTGTTTTTGGAAGATTTCTAAAAAGCACTCCTACTGTATCTAAATTTGTAGTGAGCAAAGAATAGGAATTTGCAAAAATAATGTTACTTTCAAAGGTTTGGTTACTTTCAACTGGATTTTGAGATCATTTATGGATTTGAACTATTTTAGTTCTGGAATCCGAATGCAAACAAAGAAATGAGTAGTCGAAACAAACAAGGGATATATTATATACACCTTGGAACAGTAAAAATATGTTTTTGAATTCCCAAAATTTGACAAATTTCAATGTTTCACATTTCTCATAAAAAACGTATTTAGTCACGAGGTTTTCAATTTCAAATAATTTCCACTTCCTACAGTATCCCAAATGGGTTGTGAGCAAACAATAGGAATTTGCAAAAAGAAAGACGTTTTAGAATGATTCAGAAAATGTTAATGGGAGAGATGGATGGGAAAGGGGGTGGAGAGCCGGCAGGTGGTACTGTCTGGCACGGAGAAGAGATTAGAGGATTAGAGATAAACGAGTCAGGAGAAAAATTCTAGAAGAAAATGTTTGTTCTCAATGTTCGAAGCAAATAATTGATACCAAAGTATACATGTTCCATTGAATTACTGTGATCATTCAAAACTGGAGGTATTTAGTATATGAATCAGTAAATAAATAAATAAAGTCAATTTTTCATTGAAACGGAAGGAAAACAGGGTACATTGCAGAACGGGAGAAAGCGAATGGAGATTTCACGCGTGGGATGGGAATGAGAGACTAAAACACCAAGCAGCGGAAGAATCGTTATCAGCGGGGCGAGGGCAGACATAAATGGTAAGAGTTTCAGACAAAAAAAATAGAGAGTACCCCCAAAATTGGAAGTTGAAACAAAATGAAAAGGTTCAAAACGTAGAACCAATTGCTAAGAGTCAAGGACTAGTCTGGCTTCTATGCTTTTGACCAGAATGTGAAAATTGTGAAATTTGTTTTCAATAATGACATCATATTATCAACGGAGCGTGATTACTCATTCTTCACCCTTCTGTAAAAGACCTTCACCAATTTTTTCCTTAAAAATGTTATTATCATTTCTACAGTAATCCTTCTAACCCTACCTATAAACAACTGCAGATCCCTTATTGGCCAAGGTCATCACAAACAACGAAGTATTTAAAAGCAGACGTGTCTTCTCCTTCTCAATCAATTCCAATACACTATCCGCTGAATTCACTATAGAGGGGTCAACTTTAACATTACAAAGTTTAGCCCATTTCAAAAATTCATTGACATTTGAGGACGTGGCAGTTACTATGAGATATATGAAATAGCTCGAATCAAAGCAAACAAACAAAATATAAACATCTTGCAAGGGTAATAATATGTTTTGGAAATTTCTGAAATTCTTCATGAGACTTTTATTACAGTTTCTGAATGACAATGAATTTGTTGAGAATTTTCGGATAATATCATGTTGTAAAAACCCCCCCATCATAGTATTACTGTAATTTTCACAAGCTGAAGATAGTCGAGGCAGGAATCAATGAATATTTAAATCAATTTTTCATGTAAATAGAAGAAAAAGAGGGTGGTACATGGTTAAACGGGAGAATGGATGGAGATTTTACGCGTGGAATGGGAATGAGAGATAAATAGGAAGAGAGAAACAGACATGAAAAAAACCTACACATGTCTTAGCTCGAATATGGTAACATGTGAGAGGGAAGAGAGTGTAGTGGTTCAGGGCTAGCTATGTTTTTTCCAAGTGCTCATAAGTTATCAAATACACGAGGAGCTAATCCAAAAAAAGACACTGAAGAAACAGAAAACAATTCAAAAATCTCTCATCAAAATATGTTCCAAACTCTCGTCTCTTCTGCGCCTCTCTGCAATTTGAAACTCTCGAAATTGCCAGTAGATCCTGATTTTGTGAATAGTGAGGAACATCAAACCAATGAGAAGAAGAGCCAAGATGACAGAAAAGGCCACACCGAAAACCATAAGCATCGTTTTGATGAGCATTTGGAAGACCCTTGTGAAAAGAGAGGTGGTGGAGGTGTCCATAGATGGGTCGTATGTAGAAGTCGAACTGAAATTTGAGATTCTGAAAGGTTCTGGAACTTTTTCGAGACTGAGCTATACGGTTGGAAACGTGACTAACGACTTCATGACCGTGTAGTTCAATCATTAGCGGAGCTGCTTGCCTGATGTTAAGAGTATGAAGGCGTTTTTATTTTTAAAAAAACCCCTAACGACTTTCCTGACCTATAAGAATGTGAGAAAAGAAAACTAAAAACTTACTTTGGAGTATCACCAATTGATTTCTGATTGGAGAACGCGAACATTGAAGGAAGAAGGACCAGAAGACACAGAATCGGCTTCATTTGAGAAGTTAGGAAAATAACAAGATCTGAAATTTCAGAAATATAGATATCTGAAAATACAGGGCGAATGCTCAACATTTACTACCAGTATAAATAAAATTGATTCGATTTAACATATCGGAGAAACAGAAATAACTGTTTTGAAATAAAATAAGTTTTTGGATTAAAAAATTCGAATTTATTTTCGATTGTATGATTTGAAGGCGAACAAGAACACGAATTGTTTGTGACCAATTACAAAATTACAAAATATATAATGGAGACAGAGAAACAGAAAAACATGGAACCGATGAGGAGGAATCGAAAATCTGGAGAGTTTTGTAAATTTGATGACAAAACAGAAAAACCTGATAGTGTTCTGGAAAAAGGGCGGATCGCGTGAAGAATTTAAAATTATGACGAAATCAAAAGAGAGGCGGAGAAACACATATTAAAAATCGATTAAAAGACATTGACGAAAAATTCCGGGAAAAACTTGTCCAAGCTGACCATTTCCATTTCAGCTTCTTGCGGATTTCGAAGACGGTCTTGGATCTTTCTTCGGGTCCAGCGGACCATTTTTCGCATCCAAAAACCGACGTAGAAGATGAAGACGACAAGAAGACATCCGATCAGGAGCAATGCCAAGCATCCACTGATCATCTTGAATAGATCCAGAAGGTTGGTTGTTCTTGGGTTTTCTGGGGCTCCGGCAGTGTTCTCATTTTTTGGGATTCTGAAGAAAAATAACAGTGCATGAAAATTTTCTTAGAATCTTACTCTGTAGCTGTATCCGGGGATTTTCCTGATGTCCCTCCAGAAGCTTCTACTAACCCTCCTTCGTCGTCAGAACCAATAGGCTTCAAGAGATCGAGCAGCTGAACCGTGGAATTTTCCGAGAGATCTGGCGAAAGGAGCGCATCCTCATGATGCTCTGGGTATCTGAACAGAAATTACGGTTTTTTTTCAGAATATAATTTTTGATCTCACTCAGTAAGAGTGTTGGATTTTTCTGAGGCCTCTATCGGGAACTCTCCAGATGACTCGTCGGCGATCACGGAAGACAGGCAAAGAATAAGAATAAGGAATTTAAGAGGCATTATTATAGACACTGTTTCAGGACGAAAAGACAGAGGAATGAAAATATGAATTGATTTTCTGGAAAATGAGTCACAGAAAAAAGGAATGCTTCTCGAAAAAAAAACAGTCAATGATCAGTGATTGGGATTGTTTTTGCACGAGATGAATGAGTCAGCACAATTTTGGATGAGGAAGCGAACATTTTTTTGTTTAGAAATTTGAATGATTTATTTCTGTTTCAGAACAATGAGATAGTTGTTGTTTCAGTTTGGATGGGGTTGCTTCGTTTATATTAGTGGGCATGGATAACTTGGACAGATCACAGGGGTGGGGATCACTCTCTAGCAAGGACGAATCCATAAAATCTGAACTAAAATTGTATTGTTAAAAGTGAATGTTTATCAGTAGCATCGGGAAATCTCTAAATCTTCGATCGGTTTGAAACTTCAGGTTCTCTATAGTTTGATGATATGTCGTTTTAAAAAAATGACATTTGCTGCCTAATAAGCTGGAACAAAAACTGGAAGTTATTTTGAAAAGCGTGCTGAAACAAGAAAATCAGCGAGCTTAAAACAGTCATCTCTGATATTTAGGCCGCAAGTTTCATTCCTGACGAGGCTTCAATATTTCCTCTTTTTCGGTTCATTTTTCCGTTCAGAGTAATTTTTTTGCTGTTTCGAAATGTTTTGATAAATTGTTAAATTTTTTTTCGAGAATGATCTTTTGTATTTACCATGTCCTCCCATTGCCTTTTTTCTCCAATTCACTTGTTTTGCTAACCATCTCCAATGAACGCCAAAATTTTACTCTACAGTACCCCTTTCCAATCATGTTTTCAGCTACCGTAAAGCTTGTAATACAGTGTGTAACATAAGTATAGGGCCACCCGAAATCTATAACATTTTTAAATCGCAATTTTTTGAAAATTTAAAAGCAGAATCGTGATCAGCATCCAGAATTACCCTAGGAAAATGATTCAGGTAATTTTACTCATAAAACTGGCCGGATGCCGGAACAAAAGCTGAAAAATCGGCTTCTGCAAGCGTAACATAGGTATAGGGCCACTTTAGGAATTAGTGGCTGGGCACCCGAAAAACGCGAATATGGTCAACCAAAAATCATATTCTAAGTAGCCTGTCGCTATTCGAATCAAAATTTCCCAAAATTACTTTGTCTGGGTCCGTCGGGAGGTTGTGAGCCGCCGTTTAAGTTCAGTTCCGGTTCAACCATCTACTTTTTCTGCTTTTGGTTTTCAAAAAAATTGCGAATTAAAAAGTTATAGCTAGATTTTGGGGTGGCCCCATACTTATGTTACGCACTGTAGAAGGGCACCCTAAGTTTCAACCTTGAGTCAATCAGAATGATTTTACCGGTTGACACCTTTTTAATATTTTTTACATAACCGAGATAACTGAGCTCAAACTTGACAGTTTGAGGGCCCTTCTATTACAGGTTTTTACGGCAAATACCATATGGACAGATGCCCCTGGTATGAATGTTGACGAAAAAATAATGGAAAAATATCAGATAGCGAACTTTATGTTTATTAGAAAGTCTAAACGACAACAACATTAACAACAAATAGAAAAAACCAACAAAAAGGAATGATTTGAAATATAAAACTTTTTCAAGTTAGAGCTCTGCCGTTCCGGTAGCACCATCACTCTGTTGTTGTCTTTTAAACTCCATCCACAGTTGAATTTTGTGACTGACAAATGAAAGAAGCTCGAAGAGGAGATACGGAAAACCCAATGCTCCAAGCACCATAAGTACAACAATAAGAAGCTCCATTTTAAAATTGAGATTAGTCACAAATAAATCTTCAGGTTCATTTTCGTAGGCTTCGATATTGATCATTTCGAACTTGAATCTGAAACTTCAGAATTTGAATTTGAAAAAGTTTCAAAAATTCTTACGTTGTGAAGTTCTCGATTGGCGGTTCCATAAACATTTGAGACTGTTGGGAAACCACTAAAATTGGGTGGAAAACAAGAAGGAGCAGAAGAGAATCGTGAATTATTGAACTTCTGAAAAGAACTATGCACTTGGAGGTTCAACGAGTTAAAGAACAAAAATCACAGTGATACTCAGTATCAGAAACAGAGAAAAATTTGAAAAGAATGAAACGTTCATGAACGGAATAGAAAGAGTAACACTCCAATTAATGGAGTTGTACTATTGAATTTCAAATGGGGCATGATAGAGAGGGTAGAGAATTAGAGAAATAAAGGTCGTCTGAGTCAAAACATTTGAAATAAAGATTGTAGTACAAAAAGAGGTGACAGACTCTGAAAAAAAACGAGAAAAGTGCAGGCCCCAGGCCCCAGGCCCCAGGCCCCAGGCCCCAGGCCCCAGGCCCCAGGCCCCAGGCTATCTCACCCTCTCTGGAGCCCAGAAAAGCGAGAACTGATTCTTCCCTCCATTTCCCTTTTCTTTTATAGCAATCTCCCGAGGTCAATAGGACATAGAGGGTCGTGGGTTTTTTACGTCGTTTCTTCTTTTTTTTAATGAAGAATTAAATTTTTTTTTTGGAAAAATTTTTTGATTTCATTTTTAAGCAAATAAACTTTTAGTCACGTTAAAATAACGCTTGAATTTTTCTTCCGAAATCTATAAAACTCTTCAAAAAAATCTTTAAACCTAATTGTCTCGTTTCCTGTTGGGGGTATAAAAAAAATGTTTAATTAATGAAATGTTTTTGACATTCAGACAAACATGTTCGCTTTTTTAGATTTTTTAATATCAAAGGAATCGAGATATATTTGGTCAAAGTCACAAAATGATGGATGTAATTTATTATCGGTTTGTGACCGTTTAAAAAATAGAAGAATTTGAAGATTTCTTAGAATTTCAAAAAGAGACAGTTAATAATTATGCCAATTCATTATTATGAAAACAGAAATTAATTACAACTTTTAAAAAGTAGCAAATACAAAGTTAGAGACCAGTAAATGTCTACAGATCAAAGGAAGGGATTATATTAGAATTTTGATCTTTTTGAATTTATTGGTATTCTTATTCTCCTTGCTTTCATCATCATTTTCTCTTTTACTTTCTCGAATCTTCACGACCTCTTGACTCGCTTTACAGCAACGAATTCGATATTCTGAACTTGGCAATGGTGTTGGCTTCAACATCTCCTTCATTTTCTGACCATTTTCTCTCATCTGAATCTCCGTCAATTCCTTCCCTCGATGTGGTAGAAATCTTGTCTCAATAATATCTCTCTCCTCATCAGTCAACTCGCTTCTCATCAGTCTTTCCAGATTTCTTGCGTTCAGAATTTGCTCCAGTTCCACTTTCATGATCGTTCTTCTATATTCCTTCTCCAGATTCTTCCATTCCACAACCCTTCGAATGTCTTCAGTGTGTAAGGAGTCACAGCAGGACGAGTCTTTCCAGTCAGGTTACGGTAGGCTTGACAAATAAGACAGAGAGAAAACGTCGATGGATCCTTGAAGCCTTCAGTGCAATTCGAGCAACACCATCTGGGGCTCACTTCTGGAGTCTTCACGATAGGACACAGGCAATGTTCTCTGTTTTTTTATTCCCATCTTGTAGTTTTCCATGGCACAACGAAACTGTTGTACCTCTGCTATGTGATAAGTTCGCATCTAAAAAAATGAAATAGTTTAAGAAAATGATTAGGCAAAACTTACAGCACGCTCTTGGAGTGTTCTCAAGGGAACCTCAGTTTTCTCACTTAGCAGTTTTTCGAAACTCTTCATTTGAATATTGGCCAACGGCTTCAGTCTTTGTGGCAAATCTCTGAGCTTCTTATCTATACTATCCAAGCCTTTTGCGAAGTCATATCCACATTCTATCAAATTCTGAAGCCCAACTTCCATTGACACTTGACCACCAAATTGCCTCCAAACTGGATCCAAATAATAATGTTTGAGTTTCTGATAGTCCATGTCTCTCGTCGGTGGGGTCCACATCAGTTCCTCTCGCTCCATCTCATCGGTAGCTTTCGGGGTGAATGAATCCAAATCAGCCTGATGTTCAGGACCGATTTTTACAGAATTGTCGGCTTTTTGGAGAGATTTCCCACTGTTCATCGTCACTTTCAGCTTTGCCTGTTCTCTCACGGCTTTTTGAATAACCCTGCTTTCGAACTTGAAGGATTCGTGTCCAAGTCCTAGGGGAATGATGGTACCTCGAGCTGAAAAATTTCTCTTGAATAATTTGAGAGTCCAAAAGATTTCTCAGTATGTTTGTCAGTTTGTATCACTCTGAAGAGTATAAGTGTGGACCTATTTGCTACAGGTAAATAAAAAAGATAAAGATTCATGGAACATAAACTTACGTTGGTAGCGTTTGTGCTCTTCTACATTCGCCGATAAATCCTTATCAAAAATATTGAACTTTTCCTGAAGACGTAGACTTCTTTTCACTGGAGCAGCAGAAGACATTTTGAATGTTAAGATATCTGGAAAACATTTTTTAACTTGAGAAACTCAATTTAGAAAGGATGAGAAAACGCGAATATTCAAAAAAGGACAATTCTTAAAAGTTACCATTATCAGAAAAAAGGCCCGTAACCTAACAATTAGTCGGTAACATGAGAGAACCCTTGGTACCTTATGGCGGGGTATACTGACTTGAAAAGCGGTCTTTTTTGTCGGTAGGTCCTTTTGAACATTTTCAGTCTCCTGGGAAGACTTAAAAATAGGAACTTCACAGTGTTCTGAAAATCAAGAACTGAAATGTGTTCGGAAATTTATAAAATCGAAAATTTCGACATGAATTGGGAACAGCAGCAACATTTTAGAAGTTCTGGAAGAGAGTAGAACACTTGAAACTGTATTTTTAGAATTGTAGACAATTTTTATTACAGAACTGAGTATTCAGAACTTTTTCTAAAACTTTATAAAGTCCAAGTGAACAAAAATGTTTTAGTGCAAAGTGGATATCCAAATATGTATGAAATAAAAATTACGATGACCAAAAGTTTGATAGCTATGAACCTCTTTCATTAAGAACCAAGAGAAAACATAACACTAAATTTGAAATCAGTAACAAAATTTTGAGGTCCGAAATCAAAGTAAAACCCTTGAAACTGCCTTTTTATCATGTGTTCTTGCAAAAAATTGAAAAAAAAATTGAAAAAAATTGAAACTGTTTCAAAAAGTTTGTAAAGTCTAAATAAATAGTCCTATTTATTGCGCGATTCAGTAAGTCATCAATTCCAATACCAAATTAAAGAGGAGTCGGAAATTTCAAAAATATTAGCAAAATTAGAGTTTTTGAAACTGCATTTCTTGAAATCCTTTTTAGTCTTAAACAAATTTCCAAAATAAATATTTGGTCCTGTTTCAAAATGGTGTTAAAACTCAAGTGAACACAAATTTTCCTGTTGACGAAATGATAAAAATGAGATCTCGTCAAAATCCTAACACCTTCGGACCCACACACTGGGAAAATAATATATCTGTAACACGAAAAAAAACAATTTGAAACAAAAGGTTTTGAAAACAGGAGAAAATTAAAATAATGAGGGATCATAATACATAGATCATTTTGATGGGCGGTTCTTTCCAGGTCGAACATTTGGAACCTGTCTTCACCTCGGACCCTTCTGAAAGCCAGGTGGGACCATCCGAAGTTCCCTGTCAATCATTTTCTCCTTCTGGGAAGAAATATGGACTGTCAATTTTGTACTTGACCGTGTAGCTCAGCGATGAGGAATTTCCAATATTCTTTTCATCAAGTTGAACTTCATAAGATCGTTTTGCATTCTCCTTTGAGCCAAAATGAACTATTTCAATTATATCTTATTTTCAATTTTTTCAAAATTTTGGCAATGTGTTTCCTTTTTTATTCTCTTCTAAGCGTAACCAACATCTTCAACAAAACAAATCAAAAATCAAAAAATCAATTATTTTAATAATTGTGATGTAATAGCTTCAGATACTGCCAATGTAGTTTGTAGCGTGAGTCTAGCACATTCTTGGCCAAGCTGTAGGGATTCCACAACTGACTTGTTATGCGTTAATCCGGCGATAACTCCACTGTTGAAGCTGAAAAAAAAGTTTTGAAATTAAAATAGATTTTTGAGTCGCTGGTTAGACGCTGATTAGCAATATTTGGCAACCGGGATATTTAATTTAAAATGTTCGCCCATCGGCCCGTCATTCGCCCAACTTACCTATCACCAGCACCCGAAACCGAAACCACTTTGCCCATTTGAAGCGGCGGAGGAAGCGCTTGAAATTCCAACTGACCCAATTTGTTCCTTCAAAAAATCCAATCATCATTTCTACAGTAATCCTTCTAACCCTACCTATAAACAACTGCAGATCCCTTATTTGCCAATGTCACCACAAAAAGCGAAGTATTCAAAATCAACCGTGTCTTCTCCTTCTCAATCAATTCCAATACACTCTCAGCTGAATTCACTATAGAAGGATCCACTTTAACATTACAAAGTTTGGCCCATTCCAAAAATTCATTGGCATTTGGTGACGTGGCAGTTACTGCATCCACCAGACCAGTTGAGAATACCTTTTTGACCTTGTCAATGTCCGTGGGCTCGAGCCAGACTGAAATGTTGTAGGGTGTTAGCAATAGAGCGCACTTTCCTAATTAACCTTGCTTCTCATGTTTCTTTGCGATTTCTAAAGCTTTTGACATTAATGGAACTGGTAGATTTGAATCCAGCAGAATAAAATCTGAGCATTCCAGAACGTCTGAATTATCATCGATCTACAAATTCAAATTTTGTAAATCAAAAATTCAATTTAAAAAATTACCAAGTTCGGTGTCAACGTGCTCAGCAGTGGCTCACTAGTCACAATTCCATATCTAACATTTTTTTTAATATTAACTGCCAGATAAGTACATGTTGGCTTGTTGATGATCGTTTTCACACGGGTGATGTCCTAGAAAAATTTAGTTTTTGACTTCAAAAAGTTGACTCTAAAAACTCACAATTTTCTCACTATTCTGCCTGAAGAACTGTCCATTTTGATCGTCACCAATAGCAGAGATAAAAATGGATTCACAGCCAAGCCTGGAATTTTCGAGATTGCTGAATTTTTCAGTGTTCAGAAAGTTTTTTGAGAATAAAAAGTCAATTGATAAGTAGCGCGGCATTGAAGCTAAAGTTGTTTTTCAACCAAATATACAACAAGTTAGAATCTTCAAAGTTTCAGTGAGGCTAGTTATTACAAAAATCAATACTTGAAATTAATTCTACTGACAAAACCTCAAGGTATTTCAAGCTTTATTACGACCCTTCAAACACCTAGCTCACCTCGCCGACGCCTCCGCATGATTCCTGGCTACTCCACCCATCCTTTGAACCACACGTCCATTATAGGATCCTCCGTCGTCCTGAAAAATAGAAAAGATGGAAATTTGATATCCAATTTGTATATATCCAATGATACTGTATACCTTAACGTCCTCGCTAGTGATGGCTTCGAAATCCACAATAGCTGCTCCAATGGACACCTGAACGAAATTTAAAGTTTCACAGTAACCTATGGCTGGATACTAAATATTTTTAGTAGCTCAGAAATAGAAACTTGGTACTTGTATCCGGGTTCTCAGCCACATAGAAGTTTAACTGTGGATTAGGGTTCAAGAACGGCTGACAGGCAGCTCATTGGCGTTTTACCAGCGGCCGACCAATTTCTGATCTTCCAAACCCACCACTTTAGGCTTCGCCCCCATTGACGACTGATTCCTATCCATTTTTGAAATAGCTATGGGTCTCCGATCACAAAGTTTTGCAGCTAGTCTACCCGCAATTGACGCATTATTTTCCAGAAGAGCGATATCTGAAGTTCCGCTGTTTCAAAAACGTTTTAATGTTAGATTTCTTTTTTGCAGTTATTTTGATGTTGAACAATCTCATTCTTGCCATATAAGCTCAATTGTTTTCCTATTAGAGATCTCGAAAATTTACAGTTTTTTCAGACATATTTCTAGAAATATCAATGTCTATTTTTAACTCACTAGTCTTCATAGATGCTCCTTTTGTTAGCTCATTGATTCTGGCCAGGATGAATGGGGTGACTTGTTGTGAGGCAATGTTTTGTTCACTGAAAAATGAGTTTTAAAATGTTTATGGGAAGATTTTTGGCGCTGACGGTAGCTCAGCCGATAGAAATACGCCTCCTCCACTATTCTGACCATAAGTCCAATCCCTCGATGGGCAAGAACTTTTTTTCAATCATAAGATTCACAGTTTCAATATTTTTACATCCTATTCATATTAAATTTTTTCCAATCTTCTCAAAATTATCAAATGCAAAAAACTGACATAGCTTCCCTGATTGCTTGATCAATGGCATTTTGAATCAAATCCCCATCAGCTGCATACTTTTCCGGAATCGGACACGCCAAGAGAGTTCCAAATGGGAGACCCAAAGTGTTCGATGTTTCTAAAAGTTTAAATAAATTTAGGGTGGTTTGGTTTTATTAATGCTGTTAACTCACTCAAAAGTTGCACGACTTCTTCTAAACTTTCCGTTTGAAATTGAGCTTTGCTTCCAGATTTTCTAGTGAAAAAGCTTGGAAATACATTTTCCTCCCCATAAACTACACAATTGACGGAGTGAGTTTCCAGATATTCCACAGTTTTTGGAATGTCCAAAATACTCTTTACACCTGAGCAAACTACACACACTGGGGTTTGAGAGAGCTCTTGGAGGTCAGCTGAGATGTCGAATGCTGAAAATTTTTTTGGAATTTTTTTCTGTTACAATTTCCTCAGATTTTGATCTGAAAAATATTACTAGTCGTTAACTGATGATTTTGCCATTTTTATTCCCAAAAATTCAAAAAGCTCACTCTGATCAGCTCCTCTATGCACTCCTCCAATTCCACCTGTCGCAAATATACTGATCCCGGCGGCATGTGCGATTTTCATGGTGGAAGCTACAGTAGTCCCACCGATTTCCTTCTGGAAATTGAATTTTGAAATTAATTATTACCTAGAATCCTCTCTTACCCTGATAAGAGTTTTAGCGATATCTCGAGTGGAAACTTTTACCGCATTTTGACTGGAAGCAAGTTTTTCAAGTTTCTCGTCGTCTAGGCCAACATGGATCTGAAATTTTGAGATATAGGGAATTTTTGCAGTTTCATGAAATCCATATTTTTATTAAGTTCGTTGATAGTCGATTGGTCTGTTCTTCATTGTTGACATACTATATCATTGAAAAGTTTGGAAAAAATTGCAGTTTCATGAAACGCATATTTTTAGTTTTTTTTTCATCAGAAATCGGTTGTCATCGTAGGATTAATACTTACCTTCCCATCAAATAGCGCAATAGTGGCAGGTTGACTTCCAGATGCTCTCACTTTTTGCTCCAAACTTTTGGCGGTGCTGAAATATTTGAAATCCTATTCATGAAATTTCATAAATCCTAAATGTCCTGTTCCAAAATCTATGTAAATTTTCTTTTTTTGAGTTTTTTTACAATCAATAATTTTCTACAAGCGATAGCTAATTGTAAGCAATTCAAAGCGTTCTCACCTCAAATTTTGTGGATACGGTAATCCATGGGTGATAACCGTACTTTCCAATGCCACAACTGCTTCTCCATTAGCTAACGCCTCTTTAACAGGGTTCGAAATTTGCAAAAACTTTGAAAATTTCCGTTTTTGAGTAGTCAAAAGACGAGAATACATGTTGAGAAAAAAGAGAGAGGAATAGAATGTTAGAATGACCCTTTTTACCTTATCAGGAATCGGGGAGAGGAGATAAGGGTGTCTGTGTTCTCGCCGATTTTTTGTTATCTGATTTTTATTGTGGTCATTTTGTTATACAGAGAAAAAAGTAGTTGGGTGGAATAGATGGAGTGATAAGATACATGACAGTTTTGGAAGGGCGAAAGTCGGAGTTCGAATGTCGGAATTCGAAAATCGGAATTTGGAAGTTGGAGTTCAGAGTTCAGAGTTCAGGAAATGCTTACAACGACACAACTAAAAAAACCTATAACAGAGGCCCAAATTGAAATTTTCGAAACATCAATTAAAAACAACAAAAAACAGACAAAACAAACATCTCGTTTCCATTCTCAACATTCTCATAATTCGGACATGTCCATCGACCTACTTCCTTAGATATTTTGATTCTGTCTGTTTTTTTAACAAACGACTTCTGAAATTTTGTGAAAAGTTTTTGTGAAAAATTTTGTGAAAAGACTTTTTGAAGCAGACAATTTTAAAATACTGTTTCAAACTGTTTTTAAACTGTTTACTCTAACTTCACAAACTGATTAGTTACTTGCCGTTGTCTCGTTTTTTTAGCGGTCTCACAACCACCAGTAAGGTATGGAACAGGCCTGTGCGGCAACAATTTTTTTTTCGGCAATTTCGGCAACTTTCGGCAATTTTCGGCAACAAAAGTTTTGCGTCTTTTTTTAGTAAAATCAATACGTAACTCACCTGAAAATGCTTCTATCCGGCTCAGAACTACAGAAAATGTGTTTCATAAGTTCCTTAAAGAAGTAATTACAAAAATTGGCAACTCAAGACCACATTTTTTATGCAAACTATTTCTCTTCAGCAATAGAGGGTATTCCAATGGTTGAAAATATTTGTTCCGATTGTGAGTTTTGAAAATAGTGCGCTCAACTTGTTAGGCAACTCACGACACACCTTTCCTAGAGATTTGAGACAGATTGGATAATTTTTTCGATGAGTTTTGACTCATGATATTTATTTTTCTCCTATGCTCACAAATTTGAAGCTTATTTTTAGATCCGATGCAAGTATTTTTGATGATTATTGGGACACATTTCCTCTAAAATTCACTCTGAGGGATGATGGTGTTCAAATTTTGATTTTTCTAACTTCGAAATCATTTTTTTGACTAAAAAAGTTGTGAAAATCTCTAAATTCAAAAAAATTTCAGTTGCCGAAATTGCCGGAATTTTTTTGCCGAAATCGGCAACGGCAATTCGGCAACTTTTTCTTCATTGCCGATTTCGGCAACGGAAAATCGGCAACAAAAATTCGGCAATTTCGGCAATTTCGGCAATCGGCAATTTGTTTCCGCACAGGCCTGGTATGGAACTCAAGCAAGCAACTATTCATCATACAATGATACTGGCAAGATTTCTTGTAATGGGTCTCCCAGTAATCAATAATTGGTATCAGAAACATTGATATTATAATTTTAAAAAACATGTTCTGAATTTCTGAATATTGCGTAACAGTAAATCTCGAAGTTTATGGAATATTTTTTAGAAGCTTCAAAATAAAGTAAAGGTTGGAATAGTTATTCTAACCCCAGCTACCCCCGACCGGCAAGGACTCTCCAATCCCGCCCCAGCGAACTTTAGGTAATAATCAAAAAGTCTGAAAGCTTATTGGTAGAATGTCACTAATTTGATGTTCAGCCAACGAAAAAATAGAAGCCAAATTTTGAGGTTAGTAGTAGGGAATTGTCCTTTCTGGTGCAGCTTTTGTCCCACTTTTTTCAAATTTTTATTTTGCTGTTTTTTCAAGTTTTTTGCCCTAATTATTTTTTTTCATATAATATTCTTAGCAAAATCCACGATTTTCACACTCTCAGATTTTGGTGAACTGAGTTCACCCCCACTCACTTTCCCACTTTTGTCCCACTTTTTTTCAACCTCTCAAAACAGTCACTTTTCACTCCAACTGATAACAAATTCTCTACACTTAAATGCGTTTTCAATTCTCTTATCAATTTGTTCTCATGTCAGAATGGTAAAGCGCCTGTCTTGTGTTTGAATGCTAGAAAGTTCGAAACCCTCTCAAAAGCTCAGGATTATCCACTTAATGAGATCCGAAAAATATGCAAGAAAAATTGAAAAAAAATCGAAAAAAACGAAAAAAATCATGAAAAAAACTGAAAAAAATCAGAAAAATCAGCCAAAAATTCTCGTCGAGCAAACATGAAAAATCAACCGTCAGAACCATGAAGAAACGGCAAAAAAATCAAGTGTTAACCAACACTCTTTTCATTCAATTCTTTACCATTATTACGTTTTATTAAATGCTGAATAAAGATTTGAAACCATTAACAAATGTAGATTTATTAGAAATAGCAAAAGAGTTACAAATCAAAGATTTCAGAGGTGTATTCCAATCTTTATAATTCAATCAATAATATAGAAAAATTAAATTTTGTCCAGATGTAATTCTTCCATTTCATCGCGGAGCTTCTCCTGCTTCTTTTCTAGCTCGCGTTTATGTTTCTTGATTATTTTTCCAGCTTGTCTTCTTTCGACGCGGTTCTGTAAAAGAAACATCAAACTTAAATATGAAAATCAACAGATTATTACCGAAGCTTTTTTGTCATACAATTCCCGTCTTTTTTTGATTCGAGCTACCTCCGACTTATACTCTCTTTCAAGATTTTCAAGTTTCGCCTCCTCCACCTTCACATCGCTTCGAAGTTTTTCTAGTTTCCCGTTTTGAGCTTCAATCTAAAATCAAACAATGTAGAAATTAGTACACATAAAACTTACCCTTGCTACACGATTTTCTATCCAGTCATCTTCCCTTTGTCTCTTAAGATATTCTTGTCCATCTGCGACTGTGATTTTTTCCTTATCTTCAATAGCGTTACGTTTTATCAGTTTCGGAATATGACTTGGGTGTACCACAGTGGTCGGAGATAGTGCGGTATTTGGTGGATCCACTTCCATTTTGAAAATACAAACTTTAAGAAACAACTACAAAGAGTAGGGAAAAAATTTCAAAATGAGAAAAATATGGAAAAAAGAACATATTAGGTTGGCGGGAAAGTCTTTGTCACTTTTTCAATAGTTTATTTCTCAAAGAAAAAATAACCGAATAATTAATTATATTGTCCATCATTATCAACAACATGTCTCCAACGTTCCCTCAATTTATGGATTCCATTGCGGTAGAATCCAGCCGGGCGTGAGGCAAAGTATTGTTTGAGTGCCGCTTCGACCGCTCCACGGGAATTGAAGCTTCTTCCTTCGAAGGCACGTGTCATATCGCCAAATAACCAATAGTCGGAAGGAGCAAGATCAGGAGAATACGGGGGGTGAGGGAGAACATTCCATCCATATCCCATCAGCTCCTGCTTCACTTGTTTCGAAACATGTGGGCGAGCGTTATCATGTTGATAGTACACTTTCTTGTCTTTCAGGGCCGAACGGTCGACTGCTTTCTTGAGGTTTCGTAGTTGAGTAGTGTAGAGGTCTCCAGTTATTGTTTTGCCCTCGGGCAGAAGTTCCCAGTAGATGGGGCCGTCCACTCCCCACCACACAGAGAGCATAACTTTTTTCGGATGAAGGTCGGGTTTGGGGACATCCTGTGGGCTCTCTCCTTCTCCAACCCACTGGGATTTCCTGTGGTGATTATCGTAGAAGACCCACTTCTCATCTCCGGTTATTAGCCGGTCCAGCCATCGATCGCCCGCGTGGAGAGTGAGAAGAGTAATCGAATCGTCGACTCGGCGGTCAAGGTTGGCTTGAGTCAGGTGATGAGGTATGAATCGACCAAAAAGTTTTCTCATTCCAAGAGACTTCAAACCTTCAAGGACTGTGCTATGGTGAACTCCGAATGTGACAGCTAGTTCACGGCTAGATTGAAATGGATCCGATTGCAATGCGTGCTTCAGCTTGTCCAAATCCAACTCACGGGGTCTCCCAGAGCGATCCTTTTCATCGAGCGAGAAGTCATCTTTTTCGAAACGATGGAACCAATTGCGAATAGTATTGTAGTGAGGGGCATGTGTGTTGTACACATTCTTCAAGAAAGTTTCCGAATCCTTCATCGTGGTGTGAGATAGGAAGAGGTAAATCAAAACATGTCTGATGTGAATAGCAGTGGGAACAAACATATCGTTTCAATTACAGATGAGGAGCAGGGAAGG